AAGGGAAGGGAAGGGAAGGGAAGGAAGAGAGAAGCAAAGAGAAGCAAAGAGAAGAAGCAAAGAAAAGAGAAAAAAGGAAACGAAAGGAAAGGAAAGGAAAGGAAAGGAAAGGAAAGGAAAGGAAAGGAAAGGAAAGGAAAGAAGAAAAGAAAAGAAAAGAAAAGAAAAGAAAAGAAAAGAAAAGAAAAGAAAAGAAGAAAGTAAAGAAAAAAGAAGAAAAGGAAAAAAGAAAAGAAGAAAAAAAGAAAAGAGAAGAAAAGAAAAGAAGAAAGAGGCTAGGGATAAATTTTGGTGGTTTTTCTGCCCGTACCAGCCTGTCACGCAGACCCCCGTTGCTGGTGCACACACATCCCAAACCTGGCCATGGAGGGGGGCTGGAACAGCCTCCTGCTAGCAAACCCCAGCATCCCAGCCTGCGATGCAGTGCCCACAATTGAGGCTTTTGGGGTCCCCCCAAACCAGAGCAGGGCACACAGCCCTGAGCCCCCAGGCAGCATCTCCCCGGCTGCCCTGGGTGGTTTTTTGGGGGATAAAGCAGCTTTGGGGGCCCCCACCCCAGCCGCCTGCTCCCCCTTCCCAGCATTTGGCTATCTGCATTATTTTCCCATAATATCCCTCGAGCTGGGCGAGACGAAGCTCTGGGGTGGGGACACGTGGTGCCGGTGCCACGGTCCCACAGCACACCCCAACCAGCCCCCCCATTGCAATAACGCTGAGAATTTTTTTTTTTTTGCACCGTGCCTATAGCTACGCTTCTTTTCTTTTGGTACCAGTTCCCCCTTTCTCGGTTCCCTCCCCCCAACATTTCTTAGAAAAATAAGATTGTGCTTATTTATAAAAGAATATTTTTTTTCTTTTTTAAGAAAAGTTTCCTGTTTAAAAAAAAAAAGGTGGTATATCAAAATATGGCAAAACTTTGGCTGTTAATCGCTAAACTGTAATTAAAAAACAGCGACTATAAAGGCATCGTGCTGGGAACAGGAGCTGCTGGGATGCTTCGCCCTCTGGGACCGATGGTCGATATTCCACCTGGGCGGGTTGGCTTCTCTCAGACACGTGGAGAAGCCGCCCTTGGGTTTTTTTTATCATCCATCATCCTTTAGCAGAACGATTCCAACTGTAAGAGACTTAAAAAAGACGCAGGAAAAGCCTTGTGAAAATACACCGGAGGCTGCGCCGGGAAGAGCCACGCTGACGCCGCGGTTGCGGACGTATTCTTCTCGAGAGCAAAGTCTGTTTTCTCACCTTAGGGCTTAGAAAAAAAATAGGATTGTTTATAGGGTTCCTTAAAGAAGAGAGGCAGATCCTCTGTATAAAAGGTGGTTTTGGAGCAGAAGTAAAACGCAAACGGGTCTGTAAGATCCAGACATATATAAACATACATACCTCGATATATTTATATATGTAACGTCTCTATATTCCAAGTTTGGGATGCATTATTGCAATATCCTTACAGGTGACCTATTCCTTTCCATTCTCCTCTGCTTTTATTTTCTTGGGTGGGTTTTTTTTTTTTTTGGTTTTGGGGTTTTTTCCCCTCAAAAAAAAAAAAAAAAAGAAAAGGAAAAAAAAACCAAGCTGCAAATGGCTCCAAGAGCTCCCAGCTCGCTGGGACCGCCCTGGCCTGACCTCCAGCACGTGTTTTTTGGAAGAACTGGGTTGACGCCGCGCCCCAGCAGTTGCTGGCCGTGCCTTCCTCCCACGGCACATCGCCCGTGCCCGGAGATCCTGGCTGGTTATTGCTGAATCCTCCCTCCCCATACTGGCCTTTAGGGTATTTACATTTCTTTGGCTTGATTTGAAACACAAGTTTGGCATTTTCTCTCCGGTTTCAGTTGCCACCAAGCCACTGCCGGAGCCACCGGCAGCGCTGAGGATGGGGACAAGGAGGAGAAGAAGCCACCGTGAGAAAAGACAGGTTGGCTTCTGCTCCAGCAAACGAGTCGTGCTTCTCCCAGTCGAAATAAGCCAACTTATGTCTTGCATCAACTCATCCGGAGGAGAAAAGATGCTGGGGCAAGCCGGTCCTGCCACCCCCACGGAGCTCAGACGACAAACTCGGGGACTTCGTCGTGGGTGAGATCCAAGGAGAAGTATTTGCTGGTTCTCTTGACGGGGAAGGTCTCCTGGATGTTGATGCACTGCTGGGCCAAGCAGCCGTTGCAGTAGAGCCCTTCCTCGTCCAGCCCGTGGGCGCAGCCGAAGGTGTAGCTCTGCGCCGTGTCCTGGCAGAGGTTGGCCAACTGCAAGAAGTCCTTCTGGTAGAGCCGGATGTCATCCAAGCTCAGGCTGTGTCGGTCCGTTGACGTCTTCGGTTTTCTGCACGTTGTCTGAGAAGAGTAGAGATAGGGCTCAGGACCCGTCGGGGATGAAGAAACCCAAAACCCTGGTGCCAACGGGAATTTGGGGTTCTCCAAAGCCCCACCAGCGCCATGTACCTGGGGTAAGGAGTCGGTGCTCTGGCCTCGGAGCTTCACCACCGTCTCCGAGGAGCTGGAGGTGGAGGAGCTGATCTCTTTCACGATAAGCCCTGCGTGGAGGAGAGAGGAAGAGGAGGGCGCGAAGGTTATTTTCAGGCTTCTCAGCTCTCTTGGGATCTGTGCCCACTGCCCTTGGGGGCTTGCCTTGAGACACCTTCAGCTCGATGGGGCCCCAATGGCTCTGTTTGCAGCTGGTATGACCTACAGAACATCCCAAATTTGCACCCAACAGGATCCCCAGGGAGCCTGGCAACCTGCAGACCTCCCAGTAGCACCCAGCATGGCGACTCTCTGGGTGCTGGCACAGCTCCGGAGAATTTGGACTCACACATCTGGTATCAGCACACGTGCTCATGGGAACAAGCAAGGGGTTGTCATAAAAATGAGAGCTGGGGCCAGCAATGGAGAACATCGCTGAAATTATGTCAGTTGCCCATGGGCAGCTTCTGCCATCATCCCCTGGTCTCTCCAAATAACCCTGCGTGTCTGGGGACACAACCCTGTGCTGTGGGGTGGCTGCACAGAGCATCAGTCCCGCTCTGAGTAAAACCTGCACCTTTCCTGGGCAACCCCTTCTTTTTATAGCTTCACCAAATTCACCCCATCTCTCCTTCAAGCCACTGGGCGAACGGCTTTTCCCAGCGTCCCAAATCATAGAATCACAGGATGGTTTGGGTTGGAGGGGACCTTAAAGCCCATCCAGTGCCACCCCCTGCCCTGGGCAGGGACACCTCCCACCAGCCCAGGTTGCCCAAAGCCTCATCCAGCCTGGCCTTGAACCCCTCCAGGGATGGGGCATCCACAGCTGCTCTGGGCAACCTGGGCCACTGCCTCACCCCCCGCACAGGAAAACATTTCTTCCTCACATCTCATCTCCATCTCCCCTCTTTCAGCTTCAAACCGTTCCCCCTCGTCCTGTCCCTGCACCCCCTGATCCAGAGCCCCCCCATCTCTCCTGTAGCCCCCTTTCAGCACTGGGAGGTGCTGGAAGGTTTCCCCGGAGCCTTCTCTTCTCCAGGCTGAACAACCCCTGGGGCTAATCCCGCTCTGTCGAACATCAAAGGTGTGACTTGTACATGGGAATTGGAAATAAAAGCGGCCGCTGCCTTACCCGAGTGCCCGTTGAACTTGCGTGACAGCAGCATGTCCTCTGTGATGTAGACGCACATGTCGGGGCTCACCTCCATCTCGCCAGCCTGCTCCAGCTCCCGGGGGTCATCCACCAGCATCTCGATTTCTGCAGGTGAGGTGGGACAACTCATTGATGGGCACCTCAAGAGCACCCTCCAACCCCAATGACCTGGTGAGACCCGAGCTGGAAGCTCAGCCGATGTCTCACCATCATCCTGGGAGTCCTCCTCCAGCCGGTCCTTCCCCCCGCTCTCCACGCCAGAGGTGTGGGAGCTGCCGTGGCTGGGCATG